TTCAGTGAATACACGTAGTTTACAGAGATGCTGTATGAGAAACCAATGTGAGTTTGGAAAAATGCACAATATAAATCTATTCTAGTAGACCTCAACAATGGAATTATGATCAGTGGAAATGGCCATGACACCTCTCCTTTAAATAAACTAAACGCTTTCATTTTAAGTTGTGAGTTTAGTGTTTTTGACCCTAAGAAACACTGATGCATTAATCGATAACAATAATCCACAGCTCCTCTCTCTGCTCCAGAGGATTTAAAGAATATATATCCCAATGCCCCCCCCCACCCCCCACTCAGGCAGCAGTAAACCTAGGGGAAACACTGAATATACATATGCTGTCATTTGTGCCATGTTTGCAGCCATTAATGGTGGCAATGTCTTTAGTTATGTTTGGAAAATACATAATTTTTACAGCAGATGATGATTCATTAAATATACTCGTACTCTTACAGTACTATAAAAAATCCTGTCTATAAGCAACTTTGCAACTTGAGAAAATGAAAAAAGAGAAATTTCATTCCTTTTTTGACTTCAAAACAAAAGATGAACAGGTATTAACTTTCGGAAAAAAATCAAAACAACTTGAAATAATTGACAGTTGGTTAGTTTACTTTCAAAATGAATTACCTTCTTTTGCCACTCTTTATTGTGTGTCCTTGTCCCTTTGTTGTGCCTCAATCTGCCTGCCATTGTGTTTTAGAACTTTGCTATTTTCTTAACGCATTTTCCAGCCCACTTTAACACTACCTGTTTAACCTGCTGGGGTCCTGTGGTATTCCATGCTCACAGTTTACTCTGTTTGCATTTTCAATTGCATTTTTTGTCTGTAGGTCTGCTAAGATTCAGAACCTTTACCCATACAACACATGAAATGCCTTAAATGACAACAGCTCTTTTCAAGGATTTCTGTTCACATTTCTCATTAACCAGCCCTGCCAGAGCTCTCAGGATTAGAGTATTAAACTAAACCGTGTAATAAATTGATGAGCTAAATGGAATCTCATCTTTAAGAAATGTTCTTATAGTTTCTAAAGCAAGCATGTATCTTTTAAGCATTGATCTTGTAAGGAATAGATTACATTTATCTTTTTTGTAGTAATTACATATCCATTAGGAGCTTTTTACAATGACTTTAATCTTGGTCAAAGCAGTCTTTATCCTCACTATCATTATTAAACATGGATTAATGGCCGAATCTTCTAGTGAGAGTATAATTAAAACATTGACGGGTGCTTTTTTTAAGCAAAAATCTGTTATACAGCCAGCTGCTACTCACAGCTCCAAACATCACTGTAAATCCCCAAATATGCGTAAATTGGATAAACGGAACACTTATTGTTCATGTAAATGCTTAGTTTCGCGTCTAAGCTCAAAATGTTCTGCAAAATTAGCGCACCAAATTGAAACTTAAAGTGGACCTATCATGCTATATTTGACAAATATATTGTAGGGCCATACCTATATAAAACATGTCTGTGAAGTTTTTTTTTCAAAATACCAAACAGATCATGCATTTTAGCCATGCCTCATTTCGCTCTATTTGCTCTTTTCCAGCCCTGTTTTTGCAGGGGCTGATTCTGTCACGTAGCTTTAATGCAAATGAGCTGCAGCTGACCACGCCCCCCTGCAGGAGAGGGGAGCGTGCTCTGATCAGCTGCTGGGCTGTCAGAAGAGGGGGAGGAAAAGAGAGGCTCCGTCCTCCGTGTTTTATTCTTATATGATTATATAGAGTCGTTATTCATTTGTTTTAAAGCTCAATAAATAACAAAGAAGACCTCTGACCGGCACTTTTCTAATTTTGTCCGGAAGATTTAAACTTAAACGGACATGTTGACCGGCAAAAAAAAATCTAACTGAAACTCTGCCGCACGGTCCCCTCGTCCCTTGGAAGAGGCGGAGAAGTGGGTGTTTTTTAAACCGGAGAGAATTACAGCAGCAGGACCCAACGCTTGCCTCGGGGATGGAGAAAAAGAGCCAGAGCGTCCACAGCGGAGAATAAACAGAAGGGCAACCATGCGCGGGAAGTAGGGATGTCCCGATCCGATCACGTGATCGGGGATCGGAGCCGATCACGTGATTTTCACGTGATCGGGGATCGGGAGAAAAAAATCGGGGATCGGATTTTTTTTTTTTTTTTTTTTTTTTTTTTTTTTTTTTTTTTTATAAAATATTTTATTTTATTATACATTTTATTTAATGTTACAAAACAAAAATGACCATGTTCACGTCTTAAAGTCATCCTGAGGCCTTAGTTTTGGGTTAAAATTACACAACATCATGTATGTGTTGCTTCTTTTGGGCTTGTTTTCATAGACCTGGTTGCTTATTTCTCTCAAATCTGGCAACAGAGTGGGCGCAGTGTCTAATAGTAGCAGTAAGCTAACAAGAGGCTACGTTCAGCTGGTGACTCGGGAGTCGGGACAGAGAAAATGTCAGGAGTTTGGAAGTATTATAAAATCGAAAGCGAAGGCAGTGTAACAGCCAGATGCAATGTTTGCAAGGCGGAGGTTCCGCGTGGTGGAAAGAACAGAGCTACGTTCAACATGACCAATCTAATACAAACACCACCAACAACAACACGACGAGTACACAGCGGCCACTCAGGTAACGGCACTGAAACAACCGACACTTTCAGAGACTTTTAAAAGGAAAGAGAAACTACCCCAGAACAGCCAAGATAGCTGAATTCATCGCGTTGGATGACCAGCCGTTATCTGTTACCTTTTTTTTCCTCTTAATGCATTGCATAAAGATCGGATCGGGAAAAATCGGTATCGGCAGATTGTCAAAATCAAATGATCGGAATCGGATCGGGAGCAAAAAAAGGTGATCGGGACATCCCTAGCGGGAAGTCTTCTTCGCTGCTTTTGTGTCAGACTACAGCGCCACTTACAGGCGTGGCATATGTACTACAGTACTTTCGAGCGGCAATGGCCGTGGCCCAACCCCCCATTCCCCTGATAGGTGGAGAGTTGCCCATATAGACGGAGCTCCCTGTTTCTGACGTCAGAACAAGTTCAAATCTGTATCAGCTCCGTTGCAGCCCCGTTTTTAGAGATTTGGGTATGGAGGAGAAGAGAGAGGGTTGTGTTTTCTGACACTTGGTGAGTTCCCTGGCACACCGGGGACACATATTCATGTATAAAAGACGTACCAAAGTGCATTTTGCATGATAGGTCCCCTTTAAATATATAAACAATGACGCGCAGAGTTCTAAAAAGCCACGTGGCACACACGCAAACAATTTAACAGAACATAAACATTTTAGCGCACCGCGGCTCTGCGGAGCTCTCACACAACATTATGGATCTGAGTGTCTTACCAGCTGTCTGTCCTGACTTGGTGGAAATGCCTCCCGTCTACACACTTCAGTCTACCCGGCTCGCACACACCAACTATTTAACTCCTTCTTCAGGATGCAGCACTGAGCTCTGTGATTAGGGTGATTACACCCAGCTTGCCAGAGGAGGCAGGACCGCCTGCGATCATTTCACACTTGTTTTCTATCCCTATTAATTGGTCATTTGTATCGAAATTAGACATATTTGTAACGCTAATGATTTAATTTATTAAAATTAGGCTATTTTGTTATTGATATGTATTTGTATATATTATTTTTCGACTACTTGTAATCTGTTTTTTATTTTATATTTATTAAAGCCTTAGGCTCTGTTTGACTTTACAGTTGCTAAGGAAGGTCAAGGGAGAGAAAGCAAGGTTTAAAGACAGAGCGTTGAAAGTCAGATAAATCAACAGAAGCAGACATACCAGGGTCTCCCAAACATAGACTTTACTTGGGGGCAGGCCGCCCGATTTTTTTATTTTTTTAATCCGTCCGCGAGCACAACGCCATCTGCGATCGATTTACTAGTGGACAATGATCCCTCGCTCTACGCCTCCTGTACCTGATCGCTCTGCTATCGCGTGAAGGGTCTGCTAACAAGCGACCAACAGAAAGGGAGACCTTACGAGAAACAGAGAAGACGACGTAAACATAGTTTTCAGAGCAGTGTGTGTGCATCAGAACAGTGTGTTTTGTTCACATGTTGTTGCACCTCACAAAGCCACGCCAAAAACAGCTTATTTGTCAAGTAAAGGTTGATAAAGTTAGCAACATTAATCAAAGTAAAACAATTGCGTTCACTGGAAGAAGCAACACAAAATAAGGCATTGTCGAAGCAACAAAGAGCAGGAGAAGCATAAGGTGAATAATGCCACGTTTCCACTACACGGCCTCGCTCGGCCCCGCTCGGTATGGCTGGGCCTCGTTAGGACTGGCTCACTTTATGGCGCATTTCCATTACAGTTTAGGAACTGGGGCAGTATCTATAGTAACGCAGTGTAGGCGGAGCCGTGACGTGATCTTCAGAGGACCCCAGAAAAACAACACAGCCGTTAGCTGTTAGCACTCAGAGCTCACAGCTCCTCATATATGTTCAGAAACTAGACAAAAGTTAAACAAGTACAAACCACAGACTGCCTGTGTCATGGTGAATACAGTCGCTGCTTTATTTATGTCTGTATAGGCCGTTGTTGTGAGTGTGGACGGTCGGAGCATATACTGCGTTAGCTTAGCCAATCTCCATTTAGAAAACAAGCATTTTAAAAGGTTTTTCGCCTGCCGTCTGTCTGCAGACTTGACAAAGCATTAATTCATGGTTTTTACTAACCGGTATCAGTATGTTGTTACTTCGGCATCATTTTGAAACGTGTATTACAATTAAATCACGGTCAAATATGTCCACCCTTGCCAGCGACGCTCTCTCTAGTTTAGCATACTCAGCCCGACTCAGCCTCGTTGTCTCTGGCCCTAGACCCACGATTTTATGAGGCCAGAAAAACTGTGAATTAGGACCCGCCGGCCGGTACTAGGCCAAGTGGAAACGCAACCAAAGATGGGCCGCTGACGTCACAGCCCTCTTAAACCGGGCTGCGGGCTGTAGTGGAAACGCGCCATTAGTAGTATCCAATGTTCCCTTCCCTCTGATGATTTTTAAATGTGTTATACAAGTATGGCAGTAACATTATAGCTGTGAACATAGCGCTGCAGTGTATTTACAGTCCTCTGTTTGTTGCTGAATAAATGCCTTGACTCTTCCCCACCAGAGGAGCCCTCAGCAGACGTCAAGCTGGCGACCGTAGCAGCAAAGAAGGGCAAGAAGGTGGAGGAGGAGGAGCAGCCTGCAGCCCCTGCAGCAGCAGAGGCAGCGGCCGTAGCTCCTCCACCTGAAGCAGCAGCCGCCGCCGCCACCGCCACAGCAGCTGCAGCACCACCAGAGGAGGAGGAAGAGGAGGAGTATGTGGTGGAGAAGGTGTTGGACCGCCGAGTGGTGAAAGGCAGAGTAGAGTTTCTGCTGAAATGGAAGGGCTTCTCAGAGTGAGTACTGAGTCTATAATAATACTTAGTGTTCTCAGCCCCGAGATATGCATTTCTCTTCATAATTTAGGGATTTGTTTTAGTGTTCCAAATAAAGACTTTCTCAAATGTAGGGATGTACCAATATCAAATCTTTCAGCCGATGTGTTATTGTTTTTTGTTATGTATTCCACATATTGTGCCAGGAAAACTGAAACAAAATATTTTGTTAAACAATATGAACAGTTTTTTCATACCTATACAGGGTTTCCCACACATAGACTTTACTTTGGCGGGACGCCCAGGTATATTAACGTCCGCCAAAGTATATTTCGCGACCCATTTAGGTTTAATCTTTTTTTTTTTTTTTTTTTAATCTGTCCGGTTAATGCGCTCCGCAGTAACTTCGCTGCAAGGCTCCGGCGAACAGTTCATGAGCGTGCTCCACTAGCACCACGCCCGAAAAACTCAGAAAAGTTTTGTGAACACAAAGCAGAAGAAGAATAAGTGACGTCAGCGGCTTCATTTGCCTAATCCCCCCTCTGGGACTTATTCCGGTGAGAAAGCAATCTACTAGGACAGTTCGAGGGACTAAAGAGTTCGGGGGGAACAAGTACCGGGGAAACAAGTACCAGCTAAGTACTTGGTGTGAAAGCGGCTATTATGACCACTGACGGGTGAAGTGAAGAACATTGATTATCTCGTTAGAATGGAGCCTGTCAGTGGGTGGGATATGTTAGGCAGCAAGTGAACACTTTTTGATGGCTAGACAACTGGGTCAGAGCATCTCCAAAACTGAAGCTCTTGTTGGGTCTTCTCGGTCTGCAGTGGTCAGTAGCTACCAAGAGTGGTCCAAGGAAGGTGAACCGGTGACAGGGTCAAAGGCTCATTGATGCGCGTGGGGTGGGAAGGCTGGCCTGTGTGGTCCGATCCAACAGAAGAGCTTCTGTGGCTCAAATTGCTGAAACAGTTCATGCTGGTTCTGTTAGCAAGCTGTCAGAACACACAGCGCATCTCAGTTTGTTGCGTATGGGGCTGCGTAGCTGCAGACCAGTCAGAGTGCCCATGCTGACCCCTGTCCACCTCCGAAAGAGCCTACAATCGGCACGTGAGAATCAGAACTGGACCACGGAGCGATGGAAGACGGTGGCCTGGTCTGATGAATCACCTTTTCTTTTACTACAACGTGGATGGCCGGGTGCGTATGCGTCGCTTACCTGGGGAAGACATGGCACCAGGATGCACTATGGGAAGAACGCAAGCTGGCAGAGGCACTGTGCTGCTTTGGGCAATATTCTGCTGGGTAGAATTGGGTCCTGCCATTCATGTGGATGTTACTTTGACACGTACAAGCTACCTAAACATTGTTGCAGACCAAGGACACCCCTTCATGGAGACAGTATCCCCTAATGGCAGTGGCCTCTTTCAGCAGGATAATGCATCCTGCCACACTGCTGAAATGGTTCAGGAATGGTTTGAAGAACACCATAACGAGTTCAAGAGGCGCTTTCACACCGGAGTACTTTTCCCAGGAATAGTTCCGATAGTTCCTGGGATTTTGCGTTCACACCAAAAAGATCTTGAACTAGAACTTTTTTTTGCGAACCTTTTCACCCCTTTTTAGTCATTGCTAGAGAGCAGGGACTTTGGGGAGAAAAAGGTTCCAATTTCTGATTGGCTGGGCGAATTGCAAACCACGCCCCGTAAAACTCAGCAAAGTTTTTGTGAAGCCGCCATTTTATTTGCTCGCATTAGCATTATTAGCATTAGCCCAGCGCACCAACGGAGAGAGACTAACTTATGGCAACACAAAAGAAAACATGGGAGCGGTGAAGTGATGAGGAGGTGTCGGCGCTTCTGGCGATTTACCCGGGGACTTCGGGTGGCAGTATATGCCGTGAAGTCGTTTGCGGCCTGCCAGTAAACCCAAAGCAGAAGAAGTGACGTCAGCGGCTCCCTCAGGGACTTATTCCGGTGTGAACGTGATTTACTAGATAGTTCCAGGAAATAAAAGTTCCGGGAACTATTCCTGGGAAAAGTACTTGGTGTGAAAGCGCCTAATGGCCTCCAAATTCCCCAGATCTCAATCCATTTGGGCATCTGTGGGATGTGCTGCATTAACAAGTCCGATCCATGGAGGCCCCACCTCACAATTTACAGGACTTAAAGGATCTGCTGCTAACGTCTTGGAGCCAGACCCCACAGCACACCTTCAGAGGTCTAGTGGAGTCCATACCTCCATGGGTCAGGGCTGTTAGGCCACAAAAAGGGGAGCTACACAATAGCTACACAATATTAAGCAGGTGGTCATGATCAGTGTAAAGTTACAGTCTATGGTCAACTCACTGAGTAGATGAGAGATTATTTTCTGTGAGCAAGCTCCCGCCCCCCGATGCCGATGCCGATGTCTAACCGATGCATCGGCTATTAAAAGAAATTAAAAGCCTTTCAAGTTTTTTTTAAATAAATTAGAATGTATTCAAGCTAGGACTCACTGAGATTTAACATATTTCAGGGAGGACAACACATGGGAGCCGCAAGACAACCTGGACTGCCCGGACCTCATTGCAGAGTACATGCAGAAACACAAAGAGAAGGAGGAGAAGAAGAAGGAGGGCAAGAGGAAAGTGGCCAGCGAGACCACAGGAGACTCAGAGGAGCGAGGGAGCAAGAAGAAGAAAGAGGAGGTGAGCAAAAAGGCATTAGCACACCAAATAAAACAGCTGATTTATTGACCAATGCTTCATAATCTATTTTCTTCTGGTCATGTGTCCAGGAGAAGGCCAGAGGTTTCGGCAGAGGTCTGCAGCCGGAGAGGATCATCGGAGCAACAGACTCCAGTGGAGAGCTGATGTTCCTCATGAAGTGGTGGGTCTGCACTGTCTTTAAAAATGGTTTATTGAGATCGCTTTAAGGTGGAATCACTATACAGTCCTATTGTGAACCCAGAAATGTTGAGTACCCCAAAGTTTAATGTTAGAAATGTATAGTACGGGGTGCTGAAGCATTTCTGATATTTTCAGGATCAACAATGGCAGCTTTAACCAGAAAATGCCGATATGTGTAAACAAATGTTTGGTTGCGGTTTATTTCTGTGCACAGCATAAAGAGCAAGGAGCAAAAGAAAGTGACATTGAAATGCTGTGAAATGAAAGCTGTGTTCACAAGATATACACATGATTAGCACGTCATTGTATGTTTAAACATTTTATAAATGGCATCAACTCGGAACATGCTATATAGTAAAGCAGAAGATTTTATGCAACTTTTACCTTCTATGCTCTTCCTACTTTTATCCACCTTACTTGTTTCTTCTCTATTGTCTAACACTTTTCCCCTTTCCACTCTCTCCTTTTCTACTTTTCTCTGGAATTCAAATCAACAGGAAGAACTCTGATGAAGCCGACCTGGTCCCCGCCAAGGAGGCTAACGTCAAATGTCCCCAGGTGGTCATCTCTTTCTACGAGGAGCGCCTCACCTGGCACTCCTACCCCACAGAGGAGGAGGAGAAGAAAGAGGAGGAGAAAAAAGACTAGGAGGAGGTGGTGGAGGAGGAGGTGGAGGAGGAGGAGGAGGAGGAGGTGGTGCTGCAGAGATGAGAAGAAAGGAAGTGTGGAGGTGCATTGCTGGTAAACTGTTAACCGCTAGTAATTGATTCTAGCAGCCTCTTTGGGACAACCCCAGTTGTTTGGGATTAAACTGCTAATGGTGCTGTGGTGAAAGATGTTCCTGCCCTAAAAGGAGACAGGGTCATTTCCTCAAAAGATGCTCCATACTGTCTCTCCACTTCGGGAAATCTCTTTGTGCCGCTCGGTTTCTTTATTTTCTACATAATGCCGTTCTTCAGTCAAACTTTTAAACTGTACATTTTACCATGACACAGACAGCTGGACATAGATGAGGTCAATTAGGTGACGTCTTCACACGTCCTACAAGCTAATATGGCGACCAGCCAGTGTTCAAACACCCAATGCTTGTACTTTGCTTCCTGTTACATTCTTTTATTACAAACTAACCTGTATTATATCAAACTATTAGTTGTGGATTTGTGCTCATTTGGTGGAGGTTCAGAGGCAAACCTGTAAAACTGTCTATCTGCCATATTTCTGTCACAGTGTTTGTCAAAGGACTCCCTCAGCAAGTAAAGTGTACAGTCCAGTTCATTCAATGGCAGCTGCGGCTGGTTCGACTCCCATATTTCTCAAGCCTTTTAATCATTTTATGGAATTCCTTTTCAATGGAACTGAGGCTGGTTGGATAGCTGCCAAAGGGCCTGGTAGAGTATAAACAGTCGGCATCTGGCAGGTTTTTAATTTTCCACACTGCTAGCCGGGCACACTGGATGTCTTCAGGTGAAGAGCTGAGATTGCCCATTGACCCGTAGATTATCCTACAACCTGAAATAGAGTGGTGCAGTGATGATGTATTTGTGTTGGCCTACCTGGAAGTAGCACGGCAAGGACTCCCTCCACAGAGAACGATGGGATTTCAGACCTTTTGCCAACAAATTGTGAAAGTCTTGTAAGCTTGTGTTAACCACAGATTTTAATAGAGGTATTTCAACAAAAATGACTGAGACGAGGGAACCGGAAGTCGTAAAATGTTAAATCATTTCAGGGTTTAAGGACTCATTCCTGCACCACTCAATAGACACTCCTCTTGGCCTTTCCTTACAGTTTGCAATCCCTGATACCAGCGCTAAAGTTTATTTTTTTAATGCAGTTTCTCTAGAAGTGAGATGCAGGGTTGAATTAAAAGCCAGCCAGAGTTAAATGTGTCCTGTTTTTATTTGAGTGAGACTTAAAACGCCATATCGCAAGAATACCTATTATACTGAGTGGCAAGCTTTTCTGTTGGAGGATCAGCGAACATGTTAAGCTAACGCCAGATTGTCAAATGAAACGTTGGACTAGACAACTATTAGTGTGGGAGCCATATGTCAGTGAACCGCTCATTTACTCTGCCAGCCATGTTAGCACCAACCAGCCTGTTAGGGTGGAGGTGGAAGGGGTATGTAATAGTCCTGATACCTAAGCCGGTAGATGGAGATTCCCTGCGCCGCCACTCAGAATACCCATGCAAAAACACAACTGGGTTCTACTACTTTTCCACATCTTTTTTAGTTTTAACCTTTCGCACTCACTAGGCTACCTGTTTGTTTTCTACGCTAAGTTTTTCTCGGCCTGCGCAGCCGGGCAACAATCAGACGTGATGAATTAGCTCACTCAAAGTATTTCCTGGTTACTTTAACATATGTAAAGACTTGCATTTTTTAAATGGTCTGTATTTAGTTTGAACACAAGAGTTTTTTCACTGTAGCTAATATTTCCCATCGCCTTGTGTTGAATGTAGCCCGGCTGTGCTTATTTCAGTGTATACTATTAAAGCTAGCATCGTTGCTTTCTCTATTAGCAGACCCTGGTTGGCTACTTCGAATATCCTTTCTCTGAACCGTTTGCTTTGAGGGTTTTTAGCTGCTGAAGTCTTAACTGACATGAATAGAAAATTGTGTTGTAATAAGTGCTGGGCAACAATTAAAAAATGTTTAAATGCGATTAATCGCATGATTTTCTGGGATTGATTGCATTATGTCATGCGACTTTTATTTTAAAGTACTGCTATATGAAAAAAACATTTGCTTTGCAAACTCTTCAAACAAATAAGGTGCTTTTTAACAGCAGTATTCCCTTTACACAGTAGCAGTTCAAATATTTCTTGTAAATCTCAACTTCAACATTAATTCATGTAATCAAATATAAAACCAAAGCTCTTTGCCGCTGCCAGGGCATTAACGTTGTATGTAGTTAAAGAATAACCATTTACCCTCAGTCCAGTGATCAGAAAATTCAACTTGCAGTGGCTAATAATGATAACAATTTTAAAAAAAACTGTTAATGTAATAAAATTATTATTTTGTATCGCAGTCTTAATGTGTTAACTTGCCCAGCCCTAATTGTAATACAATATTTCCAGTAGCAGTGTTTATAAAAAAAAAAAAAGAATTCAGCCTCTTGTCACGTTTTTTAAATGAGGTCTTCTTTATTTTAATGAGCCCTGCTGTACAATATTAAGTTGTATCATCATGTCCAATTTCCCGCCCAAGTACTTAAAGGTCCCATGTCATGCTTTTCTGGTTATTACCCGTCCCTTTGTGTGTTATGAAGCTTTTTCTGCATGTAAACGGTCTGCAAACCCTCAAAGTACACCCTGTAGCGAGTAAAACTCTAACACAGAAAATACCTGTCTGTGCTGCCCCAGAACGCCTCGTTGGGGATTTTTCTTTTTGCATTTTTTTTCTTCTTGAGTATGGTGACGTAACGATACCCAGGTCCAAATGGACCAATCTGTGGAGCTCCTCACACACACACACAGCCTTATATTTTCTCAGCCGCGGCTCCGCGGATCTCCGCACACAGCCTGGCTGTGAGTGTGTGTGTGTGTGTGTGTGTGTGTGTGTGTGTGCGCTCAGGCTGAGTTCCACGGTGTCTCGCTGTCTCGCAGCAACCAGGAAACGACACCAGTAATCCAGCTCACACTATCCGCTCCTCGAGCCTCAAAGGGCGGAGCAGCGAGCCCCGCAACGTCCCGCCAACACGGCACCCAGACCCCACGCAGCATTCTCATCTGTTTGTCCTTACTGGTGTCATTTTCTGGTTGCTAACGCCATTGTAAAACATAATCACTGATGTTCCGCTGTAACAGTGGTGGACTAATCAGAACAGAGTGGGCGAGCTGACCAATCAGAGCACAGTGGGCTCACAGGGAGGGGGGGCAGGAGCTCCAACAAGCCGTTCAGGACAGAGAGTGAATACACATACTATACAGAGATGCTGTATGAGAAACCAATGTGAGTTTGGAACATTGAACAATGTAAATCTATTCTAGTAGACCTCAACAATGGAATTATGATCAGTAGAAATGGCCATGACATGGGACTTTTAATATGAAAAGGTCACACGCTTGACTCGATTTGTTCTGTAATGTCTTCACACTGTACCTGAGATGGATGTTACTGTCGAGTCATTTCTAGCCTACTCAAATAACTGCTCCGCAGTAAATGGCTTCTAGCATCAAGTCAAAGTCTATGAGCTGTGCTAATGCTATTCCTCTATATCAGTGTCTTTTTATGGAGCTCCTTTTTTTCTCCACACTACTAATCATTTTGTAGATTGTTCTTTAGGACTTCTGACCTTTTTCGGGCATAAAAACTTTGTTCACCCAGAATGCCTTTTGTTGTACTTCATCGTTGATAGGAAGGGTTGGATTTGCTGCACCTGGGTCTGCTAGTTAGCGTTTTCTATATTGTTCCTGAACCGTTTCTGTATTTAGCAGATTAGCTTGTGTTGTCCTGTTGCATGTTTATTGATTTCCCTTGCAATGTCATGGCCAATCTTCTTCTGTCTGTTTTGATCAATAAAGTGTTTCTGTTTTCGTAACTCTTTGTTCTTCAGTGTTTTTAATTCATCCTTTTGAAGAATACACAGTTTGAACCGAGATGCAATGCTAGCCAACAGCCTTGTCCATGTTTACTTCCTGTCACCTAACAATTCAATTGCATTAACTGGAGCAGGAAACAAACCGGGACACATTAAGAAGGTTTTCTTTCATCTGATTTGGTCTAAAGCACTTATGTAACTAAGGCTGCATTGTTAGATCTGCATGGATCCTTTTGTCTATCCAGAAAGAAAATCACATTTTAGAAATGATTGAATAAAGACACTACTGGGAGCCAGATATCTCAACCTCCACTCTAGGAAGTGTGAAGGGCTTTTTTCTTCTGGTAAAGTGAGTCATCCATTAATCGAAGTTCAAATGGTGCCATATTTGTGAGGAACAAGCATTTGTGGGATGAGCAGCAGAGCTGAGTATGTGGGTTGCGCCCATGAACAAAATGGTCAAATCTCCTCTGCCAGTGCCACAGAGCAGCCAATCTCCAGTCTCGTACAGCTGCCAGGAGCCTGCCATGACTGCCCTTCACCATCAGGCCCACTTGCACTGGAACCTCAACATGTGGAGGAACATTATGTTCAGAGCACTGGAACCTCAACATGTGGAGGAACATTATGTTCAGAGCACTGGAACCTCAACATGTGGAGGAACATTATGTTCAGAGCACTGGAACCTCAACATGTAGGGGAACATTATGTTCATTTCCCCATATCTCAACAGTCTGGGACCAAATGCTGGTTGAAGAATGGGATGCCATCCCACAGCAGGCTGGTGACCAGCATGAGGAGGAGAGACTGTTGTGGCTGTGTTTGGTTCTTCCATGCGCAACTGAAGCTACTTGTTAAATGTATAAATTGTTAATAAATTAATTGTTGCCAAGTCTTGTTTCATCAGACTTCAATCACCCAATCCAACAAACATTACCAAACAAGAGTCAACAGCAAAGAAAAAAAAAGGGTTTGGTGATTTGTCACATTTTTCATGGGCGCAACCCACATACTCAGCTCTGCTGCTTTTCCCTCAAAATGCACAGGTGCATGTGGCAACATTTGAAAGGTATTTACTATTTCGTCCCTACTGACCGCAAGAGGCGGTGCTTTAGCACTGGATTTGTCCATCGTGCGCATGCGCAGCTCGAGTACCAATAACAACAAAGTCACCTGTGACCCACGTGACACCGGCTATATCAGCCGGTGTCATCAGAGGATCTGTTCCTTTCATCTTCTCGCTGCGTGAGAGTACCGTGGCTACATTCTTGTAGCCAACAGCGTTTCGGTTGGAACGTTTGATCTAAGGATTTCTCTGCAAACCGCTGGCTTGGTGTCGGCTTGGTCGGTGATGGCAGTGTTTCCGCTCCCTCTCCCAGCTAAGTTGTAACTCATTTACATCCCTCTTTGTGTTCGACGAGTAGGAGCATTGCTCTACTCTTTCCGTTCAGCAGGTAGTTGGTGAAGGCTGTGTTCCCGCACCCACTCCCGGTTACGCTGCATCTGGCATTAGTTATAATTAGGGCTCCCTGCTGAAAAAACCAGCATGGACCAGCATGGAATTCATGCTGGTCCATGCTGGTCTTTGATGGTGAAGCTGGTCGTTATGCTGGTCTGCCGGCGCAAAACCAGCATGGACCATCTTGGACCAGCATGGACCAGCATGGACTTCATGCTGGTCCATGCTGGTCTTTGCTGGTGAAGCTGGTCATTATGCTGGTCTGCCGGCGCAAAAACCGGCATACCAGCATGGACCAGCATGGACTTCATGCTGGTCCATGCTGTAACATGGTGTGAAAGAAGTAATTATGACATGACTTCAAAATGTAGCTTTTTACTATTTTCGACCATATATAGCAATTTTTCATGTTTATCTTTACAAATACAAATGCATTTTGTTTTTGCGAATCATTGCTCTATTCCATAAAGAAAAAATACCCCACAAGCAATGGCATTACGTAAACAAACATTTAAAGAGTTCAAATTCTGATAAATGTAGAATTGCTATGATATAGGGTTGAAATAAGGAGTAATAGCATATAGAAAGCTTATATTCTTGCAATGCTATAATGCATTTTTCAAAACTATAGACCTTTAAAAAGTCACTATGAGACATGGTCCATCTACATTGGCACAACCAACCCCCTGGCTCATTAACTAAGTATAGTTTATAACCTAAATTATTGAGTTATACATTCATATGTTATCAATTAATCTGTTAATTGCTTTTACGATGATGAATAGCTTAACTGTTATTTTTACACAACAGTAAGAAAATACCAATTCAAATGTCCAGAGGCATAGACATTACATACACAATGATATAAAACAGAAGGAAAAAAACAGCAAATCCTCATATTTACAAAGCTGGACTTATTTATAAATATTGTTATTGCTTCATCAATTGTATTGATGTAATATCTCAAAGTGAGAGTATTCACAGAGAGGCACTACTTAAAGATCAGACAGAATGGCCGTTTCTCAATGTCGAGTACACCTGCTGCAGAGCCACTATTTCAAGTATACTACGTCATCGAGTGGCGCCGAATGCTGGGCATTTAACATGCATTTAAACAGTCATTCGGCGCCACTCAATGACGTAGTCTACTTGAAATAGTGGCTCTGCAGCAGGTTTACTCGACATTGAGAAACGGCCAAAAACTGACTGAGCAGCTCCATCGGCTCCTGTGTTGTGCACTGTTTGGGAAACCTAACAGTGAAGCTGATCATAGTTTTAGCTGGTGCTTTCAGGAATATTACAGCTAAATACAAGCTACAGTATGACAACCATTGAGCAATACTACTCCCTCTCATGTGCGTTTGGAAAAGCAACAAATGTGCGTCTGTTCACCCATTTTTTAAGTCATGAATTTCTGCTCTACCCTGTCACCTGTTTCTCTATTAGAGTACCAGGATGTAGACAGAAGCTGCAACCAAAAGTACCCATTAAACTGTGTGGTGTTTTCGGGTGTTTTGCATTGTAGGTCTTGCCTTTGAGTCTACACAGCAACGAAGTCCAACAGCTTTGCTGTTCACACAGGTTCCATTTTCCCTCCAAGACACCTTTGGATGCCAATGTTTTTGCCTGATCAACAAAGGGTCTGAGAAAAATAGACACGACAGACTCATGGGAACCAAACCAAAGACCTGTAAGCATTACATTCTGGAATATTTGTGCTTTGTGACGTGCAACAACATGTGACAAACAACAAAAACGTGTGAGTTTTAACAACATGTTTATTTATTGACTTTTCATTCCTGTATGGCAATATTCATTTTGCACAGAGCTGTTTGTCAGAGCACTTAATCCTTCTGGGTTATATATAGAGGATATTACCTTGTTTTTTGAACACGGTATTTATTGTGAAATACATGCCTTGTACATGCCATAGGGGGGAAATATTCAGACAAAACACAACATTTACAAGATTACATTTGTAATTTTAAATGAGAAAAAACAAAGAATATTTTTAGATAAAAGTAATTTATTTGCCAAAAAAGAAACTTGGATATTCTAAACTGATTAGTATAATTTAATTGTTAAACCTTATCTGTGTTGCTAGAGTTCAAAACATTGCAAGCATTATATATCTATATACGACGTCTACTGCACACAGACAAAATATGTAAGAGAGATGCAGTCTATGGTATTTACTATACAGAGCGGGAAGCGCGTGAACCGCGGGAAGCTGAGGTAGACCTCAGCTCACGCGCTTCCCGCTCTGTATAGTTACATTCGCTCTGTGATTGGCTGAGAGACAGGAGATGTTCGACTGATCCAGAGCTATACAGCTTTGTAACTGAGTTAATGCAGCCTGAGCAACTTGTGTACAATAACAAAACAAGCCGAGCACGAGTGGTGGTGGAGAACGCTTTTGGCAGACTGAAGGGCAGGTGGTGGTGCTTGATGAAAAGAAACGACTGCAAGATGGACAAGATCAAAATCCAGGTGGCAGCATGTTGCATATTACATAACCTTTGTGAAAGTAATGAGTACAGGGACGAATGGACTGCCTTACCGGCGACCCAGCTTTATGAGGCATCTGAACAGCGTGTAGATTGTAAATTGTAAACATTTTGACAATAAAGCTGATCTTTTGTACAGTGCTTTTGTTTCTCTTTTATTTTCCAGTCAAGACAGGCAACATTACAATAGTGTACAGTGTGGCAATATAATAACAATAAACTGTGCCAGGTGTGTTGTATGCACAGTAAATAGGCTCAGCAGCAAACCCACCGTTATTATTTATTATATATATATCTTCCTGAGACCCACTGCATCCGTCTGCCATAAACACTATGGAAACATACATGTTAGTTTCGGCCCATAGTGGACTCCATTTTGTGTTGTGTAAAATGGCGGGGGGAATTAAAAGTTTGCAAATCCCCATGTCCCCCTCAGAGGACAATCATAAAAACATTTAGTTTTAGGTCAAATAATATTTAAAATGATATAAATTATCATATTTGTGTATGTGCCCCTGCCATTCCTCCACAAGGTTGCAACATTGATGATAAATAAATGACAAATAAAGCTTTGCCAGTTTATAACCGATGAAACATGATGGTATCAGAATAATCACTTACATGTGATGTATAGGATGCTACGGTCACTAAAGATAAAGTGTCAGGAGAAATAAGCAAGATACTGTTTAACAGTAAATAGAAGTTCACATTTTTAATGTAAATAAAATAGAAGTTGTACATGTAAATTAACATTATCAATATAAAATAAAGTGTCAGTTGTATCAAGACTATATAATAACAGTAATAACAATAATATAAAATGAACTGGTGAGCATCTTGTCCTCCGTTTCCTGGGCCTTGGTGAACAGCACCATCTGATCCCCGTGCATCGACACTTTCACCACGGCACGCCGGTCCTCCAACGCCTGGGCGGTGTCAAAGAAATTTGCATCCCGTGTCCGCTTTCCTAAGAGGGGAAAATAAGCAAGATACAAGATCTGTTTAGTGGCCATGTAGTTTTACAACATACTAGGAATGTTTTTTTGGTATTTTCACAAATAGAATTAAGGTTTCACAAATCTGAAACTGTGTTATAAAGAATGTTTAGACCCTCTGGGATAATCCAGTCCAGATTTGATGAGTCTAGGTATAGTGGTTTTAGATCAGGACCTGGTCTAATGTGGCCAGGATGCGAAAAAGCACTAAAATCTCTCTTTTTTGTATTTTCACAAATAGAATTAAGGTTTCACAAATCTGAAACTGTGTTATAAAGAATGTTTAGCCTCTCTGGGATAATCCAGTCCAAATAAATCGGCTATGCAGCGATTTAAGAGGTTCAAACACGGAGGATTGTTCCTTTTTGAAGAGTGCTTCATGTATGCTTGAACTTTGTTTAATGTTGTTGAGGCAAGTTTTCTTACCGGAAGTCATGTGACCTCTAGCCCGGATGTTTACAATGTTTGTGAGAGAGTAAAAAGGGGCGAACGTAAATGCCGGTCTAGGCGAATACGTTTTCACGCGGTTTCATAATTGTACCAAGAAGGAAATAAACATGATTGTGAACATCAGTTCGATGCGTAACGTTCTTTCAAGACAAAGTTACAGTGTGTGTACCTTTGTGTTTGGTTGCTGGTAAGGGGGACGACCAAGCGCTGTGATCTAGAATGCAAAGCTCGCTTGTTTGAGTTGTCCAGCCTCGCCTGAAACAGACGATTAGTGCCATGAGTTAGTGAAGCAAATTACAGAAACACTGCACAGTTATTCACAAGTCAAAACGTTTTCATAGCGACCATGTAGCTAGCTCGGGGCCGGTGTTAGCCTATTCAGCCTAGCATGGCTAGCTTGATCTACTGAGCAAATAAAAGTACATCTGAGACCATTATTGTGCAGATTAAAACCCCAGTGCATGTAGTTGATTTTACCTTCGTCGTGGTCGTCATCGTTGGCCACTGAATCCGCCGTTTTTAGTCCTGCCTGAGTTTCTTTATTTATAGCCGGTGTGCCGTGGGGCTGTGCACGATTCCCAGGTCGAGTGAAAGCTACTGAACTGGCTTCAGTAGCATTCCCTGGGTCGCGTCCTCGGCGTAGATCTCCAGAAGCGCCGACACCTCCTCATCATTTCTTGATGCTTGCCATAACTGCTTTCAAAAACAAACTACTCTCCGTCGGTGCGTTGGGATTTTGTAGCGAGGAAAAACAATGGCCGCTCTACAAAACATTTTCACTGTTGTACGGGGCGTGGTTTGCAATTCGCCCAGCCAATCAGCACTGGGGCACTTTTCACCCACAGGAAAGTACGCTCTCTCAGCCGGCTCTAAAAATGGGGGTAAAAGTTCCCGAGATTAAGTACGATTTTTGGTGTGAACGCGACATAAGGGGTACTAACGGAACTAAACGCGAAAAGTACGGTGAAAAGTACTCCGGTGTGAACGCGGCTAAAAACAGGCACTAAAATAATAGACTGTATCAAGTGCTGTGTGCCTTTGAGCTAGCCCTGCGTTGTAATATGAGTTTGTGTATAAGTTTGCTTACATTTTGGTTCCCCCCTGGAGAAAAATGCACCAGCCGCCACTGCATTATATAATAAGATGATTGACATCGCTTCATGCTATAATGACAGCTCTAGAAGAACATTCTAGAATTCAAGATTCCAGAGCAGTGTCTCGTGCGCAAAAGAAATAGGTAGCGCGTGAGGCCAAGAATGTGTAAAAGTAATCCGTTCGGCCCGAAACATCTGTCAGCCAGGATGTTTGCTTATGTGAAATACACGGACGGATTTAAGGCTATTGTAGCTACCTATAACAAACATCCAAAACTTCAACCTAAAAACATATCAAGCGGACATCCTCTATCCCATTCTTTGGGAAGAAAACATATTTCAACGGCCAGGTTCTGCTTGTGAAAGGTACGAATAATTAGGCTACCTTAACATTAATAATTAATATGCGAGTAGCCAACGGCTTATTCTAACCGTTAGACTAACGGCTAGAGTATGCAGACTTATAAGCCGTATATATATATTTATATATATATTATATATATATATATATATATATATAATATATACGTTACTAGTACGTTAAGATGGCTTACTCTAACGGTTAGAATAAGCCGTTGGCTTACTTTAACGTTAGAATAAGCCGCTTACTTTAACGGCATACTCGTTACGTTGACGTAAACTACCGAAATTAAAGTAAGGTAAAATCATTACCATGGACATTAAACATTAACGTTAGCTTCACTTACCTTTTGACTGAAACCCAAGAGATTGAGGACTCAACATCAAATCCTCCAAAACGAATCAGAGTTCCAAGGATCCAAGAAGATGTAGTTGATGTTGATCATTGTGAAGGGGAATCCACAGAAATGGATGCTCTAAAAAAGAAATCGGTATGTTTTTCTTATTTTTAAGGAAAATGTTCTGAAAAATTCATCTTCTGCTTCTGCTTCTTCCTCTTCTTCTTCTTCCTGGTGCATGCTGGGAGATTTTCGGAGGGTGAAAGAAAGAGAAGACTGGTTGTGGACTTGAAGGGAACGACTTCCTGGCCTTCCTGACATCCAGGAAAAAGGTGAGATTCAAATCCATTTTAATGCCAAAAGTAAGTTATTGTTTTTAACTTTTTAAATATGATTTTTTTGGGGAATTTCTGTTTTATTGGAAAGAGGCAGTAGAGATCTACTGGAAACAGTGGAGAGGGAGAAGATGATATGCAGCAAAAGGCCCAGCCGGATGGTTGCTGCTCCGTGTGGAACGTGTTCTACAGTATCAGGTAAAGCTCTTTGGTACCCAGTTATTTTTGAGTTTGAATTTAGCCTTTGGAATGTCATTTACAACAGTGCATTGTAAAGACTGAAAGATTTAAAGCTTGACATGATTTGGTCTTTTACTTAAGAGGATGTTTGTCACTGAACTTCTTTAATGCTTAGTTTTTGTATTGATGATATTGTTTTGTTCTTTATTTTTGTAGTGAGAATCACTTTGCAATTGTGTAAGTGCTATATAAATAGTTATACTAATATTATTGTTGTTACCATCATTGCTATTATTAACAATGTTTTCTTTGTTTTCTTTATTTATCGCTGCAGAAAGGATCATGCCAGCCCACATCAAACACCTGATCAAGAACTTGTGAATCTTCAGGCAGAAAAGATGAAAACACCTGTTCAAAGTTCCAGTTTCCTGTACATCAAACGATGCCTGTCTGGGACTCTGTTCCACATGTCTTCAGTCAGTCCTGGACCCTATGACTAGGACACTAGTTCTACCAAGGCTTAATAGAGGTAAGCAGTGGTAGGAGAGGAGTGGAGTTATCTTTGTATTTAGGCTGCAAGTCGACAAAGGTGATCAAATGCTGATGCTAATAACGATCCGAGTAATTTGATATTGATTGTCTGCCAATACCGAATCCTGATCCGATTCTTCTATTTCCCAGATAATACAGCTGCACAATTACAACAGGAACTAATCTTTAGACGGTTAATACAGAAGGTATATTTAATGTTTGTGTTTTTACCAGTCATAGGGTAACAACAGATTTGACTGGTGGTAGGCTAAAAGGCTGTTTTGTTGATCATTTTATTTTTCATTACATTATAAAGATCTGCTAAATTGGAGGATTCCAAAGCTGAGCTGGAAGGGGAAGTCGCCACCTACAGGACAGCAAATCTAAAAATTAATTTGGATAAACTATTAAACCAGGTATTTTCACAAAGTAAGTACATTTGTTTTTAAATTGCAAGCAAATAATAATGACAGTCTTGGATCGATTTAGCATTTTAACTTTCATCAGCAACTGCAATAAAAGAAACAGACAAGATGGCAGTGAAATGTGTAAACAATCAGCCCATCACGATATACGCATATGAATTTATACTATTGTTGAAATGTTTTTGTCCTTTCTTTGTCTTATTCACATTCTGTAGAAGAACAATCTGAGACACAGTGTGAGCCTGCACCCTGGACACCCACACACCCCAATAATCCCCCTTCAAAGAGCGAGCCACATGGGAAGGTATATATTATTTCCATAGTGGAGCCTTTTTATTTTTGCTCCTCAGTGTCATATTGGTGTCTACCTTTTATGTATAGGCTACTGTACACATTTTATGTTTCAGATTGTTGTCATTCACTTGCAAGGGGAGATTCCAGTGCGTCCAGAGGTCTGGGCAAAAATAAAAAACAACACAAGGGACTCCATGTTCGTGAAGGAGTTGGCTGTGGCGTTTTGGGGCACCGACACCTTAGGGGAAAGGAGCCTGACTGGAAAGGAATGCCCCACCACCAAGACCACCAGGCAGCCTCTAACCCCGCAGAAGCTATGGGGTTTGAAAGGTATGTTCTTAGCAGCACTAGCCACTTGCTCTTTGTGAGATACCAAGTTCTTGGTTATTTGAAATTTAATATTGATGATGTAATAATTAAAACTAGGGATGGGTACCGAGCCCCGGTATTAACGGGGCCCCGGGGATGAATTATTAAAGACCGTGGTACCGTTAAGGTCCAACGTTAACGATCTTTTTATCGGTAATGGAGACGTTAAAAAAATAGATGTCATATGTATTATTGCTACACAAACATTATATCGCAGTCTTACTGTCGCCAACTCCGTTTCTAATATGCAAAAAGACAACAAAATGCGTCTATGATTTATTTTCGATCTTTCCAATCCAGACGAGAGATCTCTCTCCCCTGTCTGTGTGCGAGGGGGTGGGGCAGTTTACACACACACAATTTTTTTACTGGGTGGACGGGGAGATTGGACGGGGAGACACTATAGTGAGGCTCGTCTCAATTGAATATTTCACCTCCTCCTTTCCCTCGCATACCCCGCCCCTAGATTCTACCGGGTCTGTCACACACACACACACACACACACACACACACACACACACACACACACACACACACACACACACACACACACACACACACACACACACACACACACACACACACACCAAATCAAGTTGCATAAATGCTTGAGCTACGTTTTTATTATAATTAATAAATTAATTTCTAGTAACTCTATAGCCCCATCCACAAGTAACGTTTCCACGTCAGGTATATATTATGTATGCTAGCAGCAACACACAGAGTTAACTAAATGATACAAACATGGGTTAATGATTAGAGGTAACTGAGTTATTTATTTTGTTAAAGTTTCAGCTATCCTGTTTACAGTTCTGTCATCACATCATTTAATACGATTTGTTAAAACATTGTTGTTTCTTATTTTCAGTTTGCTTCAAGCATGGCTGTACGAGAAAGACGTGGAGGACCAAGAAATGCTGGCCAGATTGGCAAAGACCGGAAGATACATAACAGAGAAGATAATGGATATTAACAAGAAAAAGAAAAAAATACTTTAAACATTTTTTTTTATAATTTCTTTGTTGCTATTTACATTTTGAATTATATTTGTTATTTTTAAATCAAATGCATCTATTTTAGATGATATATTTATTTAGATGTAGGTTTTTTTTTTAATATTATTGTATTGTTAATGTATAATTTATTAAATAAAAATACTGTTATGAACACAATACAATGTCTTTATTTTGATAGTTACCAGAATACATTGTATATTTAATACTAACATAAGCTGGTGATAGATAAATGCTGGTATGCCAGCAAAACCAGCATATGTTGTGTTTTGGTCGCTTGTATGCTGGTCTATGCTAGTATGCTGGTGACCAGCAAACCAGCATACGATGCTGGTCCCCAGTATGATCCACCAGCATGGACCAGCATGATCCACCAGCATGGACCAGCATGGACCAGCATGGACCACCAGCATGGACCAGCATGGACCAGCATGGACCACCAGCATGGTCCATGCTGGTGGATCATGCTGATCCAGCATGGTCCATGCTGGTGGATCATGCTGGTCCATGCTGGTCCATGCTGGTGGATCATGCTGGTGGATCATGCTGGTCCATGCTGGTGGATCATGCTGGTCCATGCTGGTCCATGCTGGTGGATCATGCTGGTGGATCATGCTGGTCCATGCTGGTGGATCATGCTGGTGGTCCATGCTGGTCCATGCTGGTCCATGCTGGTCCATGCTGGTCCATGCTGGTGGATCATGCTGGTCCATGCTGGTCCATGCTGGTGGATCATGCTGGTGGTCCATGCTGGTCCATGCTGGTCCATGCTGGTCCATGCTGGTGGTCCATGCTGGTCCATGCTGGTGGACCATGCTGGTGACCAAAACACAACATAGGCTGGTCCATGCTGGTCAACACCATGCTGGTCCATGCTGGTTTTTTCAGCAGGGCTGTCAGTCGATTAAAATATTTAATCGCGATTAATCACACATTTTTTATCTGTTCTAAATGTACCTTAGAGGGATATTTTTCAAGTTTTTAATACTCTTATCAACATATGAGTGGACAAATATGCTTTATATGTTTGTTTATTATCATTTGAACAATGACAAATATTCTCATGAATATTAAACACAACAACCTCTGAACATTACAAATATTCACCTCAATTCAACCTGGAACCTCTCTCATACAATAATACTGTGTGTGTGTGTGTGTGTGTGTGTGTGTGTGTGTGTGTGTGTGTGTGTGTGTGTGTGTGTGTGTGTGTGTGTGTGTGTGTGTGTGTGTGTGTGTGTGTGTGTGTGTGTGTGTGTGTGTGTGTGTGTGTACACTGTGATGGATCGTTGGATCGTTGGAGCTATGTGCAGCTCAAGGCATATATGCTCGAACGGGAGCTGCCTGGACACTGCAATCATGTTGCGCGCACTATCCGTGGTGAGTGTGCTGACTTTTCGTACAATGTCCCACTGTCTGGCTACCTGCATAAAGTCAAGTGCTCTGCGCAGTTGTCGGCGAAATGTCGCTCCTCTGTTTTCATTGAAACAGCTCCTTATATCCGTTAGCGCAGCTAGCTAGCACCAGATGCTAACAACAACAACACGTAAGGTGTGCCTCGCTCGCCCCACACATACACACACCCTCCCGCTCCTCCCGATGGCCAGTCCGGGCCTGCCGGTGAGCGTGGAAGTGTGGTCTGCCACAAGCGGGCGGCAGGAGCGGGGCTGTCAGCATCAGCTTGTAGATGGTATTTTAAACTCGATGCGCTCTGAAACTACGGGGCGGCCGAGGACAAAAAATACACATGCGTTAATCGCGTTAAAATAATTAGTGGCGTTAAAACATTTTTGCGTTAACGCGTTATTAACGCGTTAACTTGACAGCCCTAGTTATAACAGGGTTGCCAACTTTGGGTACCTGGCTGGAGTGAGATTGTGATATCATGGGTTTAATTCGGTTTAATTACACATATGCGCACGACATGACTGCTATCGTGTCAGCAGCGGGACCTTAGCATATATATAGGATATATATACAATATATACAAATACACAATAATGGACACAGACTATAAAGGGCACACAGTTTCATTCACTAATGAAAGTCAAACATGTTTGTTTCCACTGTTGTATTGTGTGCCTGTCGCGATAAGCAATTAATTGACTTATCAGTTTGAAAGGATGTACTTGAATTATTATTATATATTATCATTATGTCAGTGGTCTAAAATGGTCATACAACGGTGCCGACAATATTATCGTTTATCGCAATAATTTCCGGGAAAATGTATCCAACAAAATGAATTATCGTGAGAGGCCTATACATGAAACACACACACACACAAACAAATCTACAGACTTACTCCAAACTGCCAAATATATTAATTAACACACTCTCACTCTCATATACTGTACTCTTTGACTCTATGTTGGCCTAGTAGAACAATAAGCAGCAGACTTTTACTTTTTTATCATTTCTACTGGATCTTAGATCTGCGCATGCGCTCCAGAGTATTTTTGTTGGGTAATCTATGGTAGGGCTAACCCATACAGTGGTGGGGCTTAAATCAGTATTTGCAATGTAATTACATACACGCTCCCCCCGACAGTGAAACGCCATGCGTGAGGTTTAGATTATTTCCCTGTCTCAATCCAAATTGAACTGTATGAAATAAAAAGGCACATTTGTCTTGTAGTAAATAAAAAGGGCGACCTGGAGCCAATCCTGCAACAGGTGAAAGAGTTGACATGCTGAAAACCCAACCCCTGCAGGGGGGTCTGGGGGGATTCTCCCCCAGGAGATTTTTTAAAATCCTAACATAAAATAAACATTCTGGTACTCTCTTGAGAAGAAAAATAAATAAATCTATTACTACACATTTAAAAAAATGAATGCCATATTATTTTTTTGTTACTTTGTTCTGAAAGCTGAACCTGCTGCTCCTCACAGAGAGAAGAGGGAAGAGGCTGTGTGAATTACTTTACATTGTGGATATGGGTGGATAGCCCCCATTGTTCTGTGTGTCAAAATGAAAGACAGCCCACACACCTATCAATCATCAAACCGTGGGGTCTTATTTCATTACGTGTTGATTTCTATCAACACGTAATGTTGTATCGATGTATAGAGATGTACTACCACAAAAGTATTCTCCGTCGGGACTTCCTGCAACAACACCACGCCGTTATCGTGATTCTGATTGGCCAGAAGACATTATCAAAGATGTTCTATTGAGAAGACGATCACTACGTGACAAAAGTTTTCAAAACCGTTTCTAGTCTTCGTATTCTTGTTTTTGGCGTGAGAATAGTTTGGGCAGCGTGAGAGCGTGAGATTGAGAGTGAAAGCGTGTGTCACACGCCAGATGCGTGAGAGTTGGCAACCCTGGTTATAATATACTATCAGTTCCGGGTGCTTCCCTTTGGTCTCTCCCTCTCTCCAAGGGTGTTCACCAGGGTCGTGGCGGCAGCTCTCACACCCCTGCAGGCGCAGGGCGTGAAGGTCCTGCCGTATCTAGACATTACATTACATTACATTACATTGCATTTAGCTGACGCTCCGCGCTGCAGTGGAAACGCGCCATTACATCCAGTTCCTCCGGCTCTTGGGCAGACTGACGGCTGCCTCAGCTGTTGTGCCCTTAGGCCTGCTGTTGCTACGCCCCATGCAGATGTGGCTGAACGGCCTTCACCTGGATGCCAAGTGGCACAGGCACAGGAGAGTCAGGGTGTTTCAACGGTACCTCCACTCTCTGTCCCGCTGGAGGGATAGGACCTTTCTTCTGATGGGTGTGCCCATGGGCGTCATCCCATCCCGCAGGGAGACTGTCACTGTGGATGCATGTCTCTCAGGGTGGGGTGCAGTGTGGCAGGGCAGGACTGTCAGTGGTCTGCCCAGGAAGGTGCACGCCATATCAATGTGCTAGAGCTTCGGGCTGTGCTGCTGGCACTCATGCACTTTTTACCCCAACTGGCGGGCAAGCATGTGCTCGTTCGGTCAGACAACATGTCCGCTGTTTCCCAAATCAACCACCAGGGGGGCACCAGGTCTGCACAACTGCTCCGGGTTTCATAGAGCCTCTTGTCTTGGACGTTCCCCCGCCTGGCCAGTCTGCGGGCAGTCTTTCTGCCAGGGGTCCAGAATCAGGTCGCAGATTTCCTCTCTCGGCACAAGCCTCCACCAGGGGAGTGGAGGCTTCATCCAGTGGTGGTGGAGACAATTTGGAGCCTTTTCGGCAGGGCCGAGGTGGACCTCTTTGCCTCGGAAGAGTCGAGGCACTGCCCCCTCTGGTTCTCCTGGACAGAGGTGACCAGCCCGATGGGTCAGGCCGCTCTGGCGCACGACTGGCCAGACAGTCTCCTGTATGCCTTCCCGCCACTGCCTCTGATACTACAGACGCTTCAGAGGGTCCTTACTCAGGGGCACAGGCTCCTTCTGGTCGCCCCCCGCTGGCCGGGGAGAGTTTGGTTCCCACTGCTGCGCAGTCTCTGCTGCAGCCCACCGTGGCGTCTCCCCGACAGGAAGGACCTTCTGTCACAGCTCAGGGGTCAGATCTGGCATCCCAACCCTCACCGCCTTCAGCTCTGGGCTTGGCCTCTGCGCGGCCCAACCCGCTGTTGAGCGTTTTCACGGCATCTGTCAGGGAAACTATCCTGAATGCCAGAGCACCATCTACTCGAGCGCAGTATGAGTGCAAATGGAAGCTCTTCTCCCACTGGTGTTTGGGTAAGGCTGAGAATCCGGGGCATTGCTCTGTGGCCACCATTTTAGTGTTCCTGCAGTCCCTTCTGGATAGTGGACGTTCTCACTACACTTTGAAGGTTTATATGGCTGCTATCTCTGCCCGACTTGTTGGAGTCGACGGCGCCACGGCGGGACGCCACAGGTTGGTGTCCCTCTTCCTGAGAGGGGCTTTACGGCAGCGTCCCCCTAGCACCCCGAGGGCTCCGGCTTGGGACCTGCCCCTAGTGCTGGATGCCCTATCATCTCCTCCCTTTGAGCCCCTGGCCCAGGTAGGGCTTAAGTGGCTGTCCCTGCTTGCCATAACCTCAGGGAAGCGAGTTGGAGAGCT